CAATTCCTATAAAAAGCCCTCAATTCCTATTTTCTCCTATTTTCTGGACAAATTCCTATTTTTTCCTATTTTTTGCCCAGAAAATAGGAAAAAATAGGAACTTGACGCCCTGCACTTGCACGCGCCATCTCGCAGCAACTGCTTTTGCTATTAGAGCCCCCTCCACCCGCCCCCTCCCCCCACCCCCACCACTACGCTCGCACTCGACGCATATCTATGATAACATGTTAATATTGCGTAGTACACAGCTGTATTACACAGATTTACACAGCTGTATCTGTATTACTGCACTACCAGTATAGCAAAGCCTAGCTATCATAGATTTTAGATCTGTATTAGTAGTATCCTAGATATATGCTCTGCGCGCGAATGCGGTGGCGGGAGGGCGCACTTGATTCGGTTGCCAGTGAGTTTATCAGAAGAATACCCGGCTACAGTACACATCAGTTGAGCGCTGTCGCTCTGCGCCACTTGTCTGTAAAATATTAAATTTTTCCCCATTTTCTTCCTGAAAGTAGGGGGGATGAAAGCATAGGGGATATACCCCCATCCCCCCGCTATCTACGCCCCTGTCAGATGAACTCAAATTTGACTTTTGATATGCATACAAATATTCATAATCATAATCTTTGTTAGCTGTTAGCAGTACTCTACAGGTGCCGCGAAACGATTTTTGAAGTGGGGGTGCTCAATTTGTTACGCTCGACAGTGGCCAATGCAGGTTTTCGAGGAGGGTGGTAAGAAACAGGTGGAGGTATGCGGGTACTCCCCCAGAAAATTTTGAATCCACATTTTCCTCCTGAAAGTAGGGGGGGGGGATGATTGTACACGCCATCCCCACCACATCAATAAGTGGGGGGATGCATCCCACCATCACCCCCACCCCCCTATCTACGCCCCTGTACTCAACTATGACGTATCTCTCCTTGAGTTAGCAAGTTGGGAAATGCATGTATTTTATTTTATAAACTTACAAACATTTTGCACACAATATAAAGCAAGAAAAATATAATTTCATCATTACTTTTACTTCCAAAAATACCCCTTTTCAAAAAAAAATAAACACATGTTCATCAAAGTGTTACAATAGCATCATTAGCAATAGGAAGTTTGATTCATGGTAAAGCCTTGAAGTCATGCTCATATATTATCAAGCATTTACTTGAATGCATATCAAGTAAATGACATGGAAACATGCGACTCACACTTACTTTTTTAACGTGTTGAACAAGTTCCAAGCATTAATAAATGTTGCTTCTGTAACTATTATTAACCCAGTAAATAGAGAGATGCTATGATATTGCTGTAGCTTTACATAGCATTATGTAAATGGTTTGCACATCTAACACTTGATTTACACTGCCTTGTCCAATCATTCGCTTCGATCTGCCAAGCATCTAGTCCAAGGATAAACGAAATGCCACCATTGTCCTTCACCTGCCTCCGCTGTCTGTCCGTAGCCATATATACGCATGTTATCCTACAGAATATACAATAATATTAGTATTAGGCTTACATGAAGTAGGATGCAAAAGCCTGTAGTGTGCCACGGCAGGACTATGCATGATACTTGCTGAAATACGACTGACTCGCTCATTTTAAAATATTTCATAGGGTATATCTGTCGGCATTATGGCATCGATGACCTTGAGGATTCGCACCAAAAAATCTGCTTGCACTGCCACTGGTTCTCTCGCGAAACGTAGCAAGAGCGGTATCGGTGCATGGGTGCATTGCACTGCGATACGAGAGCTGCGTGCTGAAAGTGTTTACGCATTTCAAACAATACGAAATAAACGCCACGTGTATACTTACCGTGGGCACTGAATAGCATATAGCATATGCAGCATCATGATTTTGGTTTAGGGTTACCATCCTTCTTATTTGCCTCCATGTTTTGCAGCTTTGTGGTGATTTTACGTGTATGGCCGCTTGTATCGTGCTGGTTCGTATGTTGTTCGGCTTCTTTCTTGGTTCTGCCTTTTCCTCCAGATGACTTCATGAACTTGTCTGCCTCGTAGTTATACTCGTCATATTCAGCCTGTGGATCCATAGTTTCGTATGGTATATTGAATAGCAGCAGACACTAGTACTTGTAGTGAACGGTAGCGTTGTTGTGATACTGATACTAGTCTAGGTCGTGACACACTTAAACATGAACAGCTGCTACCTACGCACTCGGGTATTGATAACACGTGGCAGGCGAGTTTCCCCCATAATCCACCGCGAAACACAAGATCGTATCTCGGGTATGGGGCGCCAAGTGTCGCATGACTGATTTCGTTACGAAATCAATTTTCCTCCTTCAGGGCGTGTCCCCTTATTGTTTAGGGGGGGGGGGTCCGGGGATTTTGTTGAAAGTAACACCTCTTCGATGCAATTTCCTGCACTATGAGGCAGCACTATTAAACAATCTTCATCACAATAACATCACTCATGGTTCGCACAGTCCTTGAAAAATCCTTGAATTTGAAGGGAGTCCTTGAAAGGTACTCCAAGAATTTAGTAAATGTTGATTTTGTGCTTGAAAAGTCCTTGAATTTCATGAAAATGTCCTTGAATTTAGTAAATGTTGATTTTGTGCTTGAAAAGTCCTTGAATTTCATGAAAATGTCCTTGAATTTTTAGAAAGCATCCTTGCCTGTAATAATAAAAAGAAATTTTGTACCATCAATAATGTGCAAACCTCAATAAAAATTGTGTTAAATGAGCTTGAAAAGCTATAGACACGATAGACAGTTAAACGATTATCACAAATACAGTAAGTCAGTAAAATCAGTCAGTAAATCAAGGTATGTTGTAGAAGTGACAGTGTATAGAAGGGTTTATTAATGTGATCCAGGTAAGTTTTAGAGGTGACAGTGATTAAGAATGGGGTTATTAAATTAATCCAGGTATGTTTTGTTCTGTGTATGAATTCCGATAAAACGTCCTTGAATTTCTGATAAAATGTCCTTGAAAAGTCCTTGAAATTTTTTCCAGTCTTGTTTGAACCATGTCACTGTTGAGTTGAGTATTTTTACCTTTGGGGACACCAAAGACTAAAATACTTACTACCAAATCTGTGCTGTGTACATGTCCTCACTGGGGTTACCAGTGCAGACTTACCTAGGCTAAAATACCTTTGCCCTGAAAATTCTAGGGGGGGGCGACCGCCCCGTGCTACCGACCCCCCCCCCCCGTTGACAACTACAGCACTGGAATCATCTCCCACTGAAATTTTGATAAAACGTATATTTTACTGAGAACGTTAAAACTGCAAAAAAATATATGAGAAAAACAACCAGATTTGAACCAAAAAGTGCATATTTGCACCCCTTATACAAAATCGGGAATATACTTCCGGTCATGTATGTGAACACATTTGGGACTAACAGGGTTTACTAGAATCCCACCACTCCACCACAGAGTCACCGCAGTAGACGTTAGATGAGCGCTGTCGCTATGCGGCACTTGTTTACAATTAATGGGCCGGATTTTGTCGCGCGAAAAATACCCCTTTACCGGAGCTTTTGGGAACGCGCATGCGGTCCCTCCGACCTCGGAGTGGGGGGGCCCGTGACAACATGTCTTCAAAGCTGAAGCTAATTTGCAACATCCTATAATTCCCTTGACATGTGTTAATTCCCGTATCGACATGCCTTAGTTTCTAGCTGTTTACTTTTGATAATCTCTACACAGTCGTGTTGAGTTTACACAGCTTGATGTATATATACCTCCGAACTAATAGAGTTTATTCGTGCATTTGGACTGCTTACAACACGTGATTTGACTCGAATTAGCAATTGGGAATGGATTGTCCATTTTCCCAGCATGCCTTCTGCGATTCCTAGGAAAAACCCTGAATTATTTTTGCACATAAAGAGAACATAAATGTAGTGGATTACAGAAAATTTGACAATTTGTTTTGTTTTATTTTACAGAAAACGGCTCTCGCTGCGTGATCAAGACGGAGAACTTCACTACTGTTAACCTCATGGAAATATTAAATAGGGTTATTGCACAAAACACCTTAGAGAAGCCTAATTCACTAGAAACAGCAAGCAAGTAGCGTAATTAAAGCAGCGTTCACAGACCTTATGATCAGTAAAAGGAATTACTTGTTGGGATTTCTGTAACCCTAATGTCATACTGAATATAGTGATGAATATCATGTCATGTGACAAAACACACAGGTTTGGAAGTCGGTGACTGCTCATGCGATATGTTAAAAACTAGTTGGCTCTTTGTACTGTATACACCTGCATGTATTCAAACAGCTAATAGGTAACCGTATACAAGCATTAATTATGAGCTGTGAATTACAGAGGGACATTGATATGGTCATGTAACATATTGGTATGCCCTATGGACACTGCAGCACCATGAAGAATTCAGATGTTTGACAATGTGAATTGAAACTTTGTATTTTAAACGTGTATTCTACATTGTCAACAGTGTAATACATTTGTAAATATGCAGTATGTAGCAGATTTCTGAATACAGTTTCTTGAATTACATGATATTAGTCAGTTGAGTTTATTATAATGTACGCATATTGTTTTTAGCTCAGCTACGTTGTCATCAAGAGGCCATAATTCTATGGTATAGTGTTGTATAGTATTGTGCTCCTGATGTCATCAAGTTCAGACTATAATGCCATTGTGTGTGGCCATGAAGAAGCTAGAACTATGCAGACGACAGACAACATAGCCTAGGAACTTCAGAGACCCATTAATCAAGTCATGACTAATTATATGCACTATTGTTACTCAACCAGTGGCGTAGACAGGTCCTCATTTGTGGGGGGGGGGAGATTTTGCTGTTACTTCCATCGCAATGTATATGAAGAGTGGATTTTAGCAATTTAGAACCTTAAAGATGGCCGTTTTTGAGGGAATTGAAAAAAATTGATATTGTAAGTGCAATTTTGTGAATTCTAGGGTAATTTTTTTCTTTGGATCCCAGAGGTTTAATAACACGCACCCCCTTCACACATACACACAACCAGTGGCGGATCCAGAAGTGAATTCTAGTGTGGGGGGGGGGGGGGGGGGGGGGGGGGGG